TGCAGTCTCAGATAGTGAATGGACCGTGCTATCATGGCGAAAGGGGGAAAGGCATATGCTCCCGTGATCGGCCATGGTTGTAGGAATGCATCCATTGCTTTGCTCTCCGGGTCTGGGATCCAACTGAAATATGCTTGTGTTTGTCTGTTGTTGCGAGACGCGAACAGATCTAGGTGAAATGGACCCCGATGTGCTGCTAGACCCAGGAATATCTGTGGATCCAGTTTCCAGTCGCTGTCATCCCTCCAGTGGCGTGAAAACCAGTCCGCTGTGAGGTTCGTTTCCCCCGGAAGGTATTCTGCTTTGAGGGAGATGTTGCGGGGTAGGCAGAACTCGAAGAACTCCTTTGTTATTTCTGAAAGGATCCGGGATCGGACTCCGCCCAGTCGGTTGATGTAGCGGACTGCCGAGATGTTGTCCATCCTTAGAAGGATGCAGCAGTCCGTATTTTCTTTTGCTAGGCTGCGGATGGCAAATGATCCTGCCAGGAGTTTTAGGCAGTTTATGTGTAGGTTGAGGTTGGTTGGGGTGCCTGCGCTTGTGGCACCCCATCCCCAGAGGCTGGCGTCCGATTCCAGGACGATGTCGAGTGTGCTCCCAAAGATGGCCCGACCGTACCATGCTTCCATGCTCTCCAGCCACCATCTGAATTTGTCCCTGACCTCCTCCGTGACCGGGATTGGTTGATTGTAGGATGGGTTGTGTCTGAGGAAGGATGCTTTGAGGCGTTGCATTGCCCTGTAGTGGAGTGGGCCTTGAAAGATCGCCTTTATGGAAGCTGAGAGGAGTCCCACTATTCGAGCGAGGGAGTGGAGTGGAATGGTGTGGGCGCGAATAGTCTTGCGCAGTTCCTTGCGAATAGTCGAGATCTTTGAGGCAGGTAGCCGTAAGGTGCTTGTGGTGATGTCTATCTCGAATCCTAGAAATTGCACGGTTTGGGATGGTGACATGGCTGACTTGTGAAAGTTCACCACAAAGCCTAGGGATCATAGGAGGTCTGTGGTATAGTTTGTGTGTTGCGTTAGTCTGGAACAGAACAGTAGGAGGTCGTCCAGGTATATAATGCAACGGATTCCTTGCAACGAAGGTTGAGCGACTACAGGTCCAGGTATATAATGCAATGAAGATGAGCGACTACTGGCTTCAGTAATTTGGTGAAGCACCATGGAGCCGAGCTGAGGCCGAAGGGGAGGCACATGAATTGCCAGGGGCGATCTTGCCAGTGGAATCGTAGGAATTGTTGACAGGAAAGGTGGACGGGTACTGAGAGGTATGCGACTTTTAGGTCCAGTCTCGTGAACCAATCTTTGTCCAGTAATAGGTCTCTCAGGAGATGTATACCTTTCATCTTGAAGTGCCTGTACGTGATGTATTCGTTGAGTCTTTTTAAGTTTATGACAGGGCGAAAGTTCCCTGATTTCTTCTTTACCAGGAATATGTTGCTGAAGAAACCGTGAGGTCCGGAGGCTGGTTCTATTGCGCCTTTCGATTGTAGTTCTAGCAACTCGTTGTGTATGAGTTCAATATCTTCTGTCGAGCATTTGATGGGGTGCGGTGTGACTGTTTGTCATGGGTGCAACGTGAAGTCGATGATGTAGCCTTGAACCATTTGCAGGATTCACGCGTCTGTGGAGATGGTTTGCCATTCCTGAAAGAACAAAGATATGCGACCTGCTGTACGGAGAGGAAGGTAATGAGTTAGGTGATTGCTTACCTGTGGAGAAACGTGCTCTGCCTCGGGTACGTGGTCCACGGCCTCTGTCCGCTCCTCGGGTATATGAGGATTGTTGTCGGTATCCCACCTGCAGGTAGAAAGGGTGAGGTCTTGAGTTACGGGGGCCTGAAGGCCAGAATCGGCTGGCAGTACGGCCGCTTTGGCGGCCAGCCCGTCCAAAAAAAACCCTGGTGGGGTTATGTCTAAATACTCTCCTCATGGAGGACTGAGCTTTGTTCAGGCAAGTAAAGATATTTACGTGTTTGTTCAAGTCCTTGAGGAAAGAATCTCCAAATAGCTTGCCCTGTGTCAGAGGACCTAATTCTTTGGTGCCCAATTCCACCAACTTTCCGTCGATGCGGAGTAATGCTGCCTTCCGCCGCTCGGAGAAGAGGGCTGTATTCGTGTTACCCACGAAGCAAAAGCATCTTTGTGCCCACTCCCGAACATCATGAGCCCATTCGCGAACCATGGTCTCGTCAAATTGGTCTGCCTTTGTGAGGGCGTCATCCGCCAGGTACATGATCCTGGAAAGTGGTCCCACCGAGTCTAGTAGTTTGTCTAGGACTGCTCTGAAACCCTTGTCCCGGCCACCTCGGAACATGAAGGTGGTCATCACCTGGTCAAATTCTGGTGTCTCCGCCATGTGATCGGGCAGAGACGGTCTTGGAGATTCGGACCGTAGTCGGTTGTGGACAGTCTTGTCCATGGATTTTCTCAGCCAAAGATGCATAAACTTTGCCAGGTGATCTGGGGGTGTGCAGTCCCCTGAACGAGGGTGTCATAGGTTCCTCGGATCAAACAGCTTCTGACCTGATGGGTCAAAAAGGCGTCTTCGTCCTCCTGCGGATTATCCGTGGTGTCATGTAATTGGGAGTCTCCCAGTAACGTGTGTGTGTTACGAGTCCAGGTTGAAATTCAGACTCTGAGCCCCATGGGTCCTCGTAGGAGTCTGACTCCTCCGCCTGTCATTCATCCAGAATGGCCAAGGATTTTTTATGTGCATCTTCCTCATCGGAGGAGTAATCAGGTGGTGGGGGCGGGGTAGTGTCCTTTAGCAGGGGTCTTACCCTTGGTCGAGTTCTGCTGGCCCTTTTCCCCTTTCCAGTGAATCCTCAGAATCCGAATTGTGTCGGGGTCGGTGAGTTTTTGATGGTCTCCTCTTATCGGTATTAGAGGCCATCATTATGGAGAGAGCTTTCTCCATGGAGGCTGCTACCGCCTCGTTAATCATTGTTTGGAGGTCTGCTGTATTTTGAGCAGTTTCCATATTGGAGATTATTAGTTTTTTGGCACGGTGAATATTAGAGGTCAGTTCAGCTGTATATTTTGTATATGAGCAACACTATGCTAGCCCCAACAGGGTACAGTAGTGTGTAATATATATGTACTCCAAGTGTAGAGTAAACCCCAGCAGGGTGTGTGGTGGAGATGGTACAGTGGACACCAGCAGGGTCTGTGGCTATATGGTGTAATAAAGATCCCAGCAGGATCTATGCCGCCTAGTCAGGCAAAGGGTAATTGTACCAAAGCAAATAATAGAAAATAGAAAGGATAAAGATAAAGGTAATAACAATAATAATAATAACCACCACACTATTGGGCTTTAGTATTTCTGGGCCTCACCCAGGATCACAGTGGTGGCCACAAGGCGACCCCCACAAGTAGCACAAAATAGGGCAGCACCCCTGACAGGCACAGGGTTATGATCCCTTAAGTGCCTAGATACAGCAATTGAAAATTCAATTTGAACGGACTGACCTCTAGAAATAGAGATTATTTTCAGGACTGTCTCCGGTCGTGGACTCGCGGAACTGAGTGGATTCCTAAAATGGCAGCCGTAATCCTGCGAGACGCGAGATTGCAAATGGCCGTCGCGAGAATGAAAGCTGGAGCGGTGGCCGCGCTCTGTGGTGAAAGGTGAGGTGGTAGAGCCGACTAGGTGGCTGAGGGGGGGACCTGGATAGGGGATAAGGCTTTTGGGTAAAAACCGTTGTGCGGCCGAGTTTTCCCAGCAAGCAGGGCGATTGCAAAGGGGGAAGCCCCCCCCAACTAAATAAATAAATACAAAATAAGGCATCATAAAGTAAATAACACCAGAGTAGTGGAGAATAATAATAATAAACTCAGGAAGGAAAAAATACCAGAAATACACAGTTATAAGAGCATGAACGTCTATAACATGTAGAGATGGTTACAAGCTAATAAAATAATCAACTAAAATATAATAGTAATATACAATAAATTCAATATGCATATACATATATAAGGGGAGCCAAAAGCTCTGACCTGTCTGCGATGGAGCAGTAAAGAAAGAGGAGGAGGAGCCTAATTGTTGGGAACTTCCTACTCCCTATTGCATTTTTCATTTGTTAAATGTTTCACATACTTTACTGCTGTGGAGTTTAGTAAAGAGAGAAATGCAAAATAGGAAACCTCCTGTCATGTGATAAAATTCAAATTAAAGCAATCATAGTGTATTACAGCGTGCAAGTACACAGAGTTATTCACTAAAGTGAAAATTTAGGGTCAATCAAAATGAATTTCTTATTTAAGATCAGATAGCTAAATTTGAAAAATTCTATAAGTCAGCTATACTTTTTATTCATCTACCTGGCCTTATATTTGAAATTCACTTTTAATTCAATTTAAATTCTCACTTAATCAAAGTAAATAACTATGTTACATGGGTATTTACAAAAGTGAGAATTCAAAGTGAATTTAAATTGTAAAGCAATAATTGCCAAAGTAAAAGCATAGCTAACTTAAATAATTTTTTCTGTTCAACTACTTTGACTTCAAAGGTAAACTACACGCACCAAAACAACTTTAGCTTAATGTAGCAATTTTGGTGGACAGATCATGCCCCATGCAGTCTCACTAGTCAATACTCTGCTATTTAGGAGTTAAATCACTTTGTTTATGCAGCCCTAGGCACACATCCCTGCATGTGACTTACTAAGCCTTCCTAAACACTTCCTGTAAAATGAGATCTAATGTTTACACTTCCTGTATTGCAAATTCCGTCTAATTTAGAATTTTTTATCTCCTGCTGTTAATAGCTTGCTATACGGTGCAGTCCTGTTTGTAATTAAAGTTCAAATTACAGAGCAGTAGATAAAAAGTTTTAAAGTTACACCTTATTGAAAATGAAACAATTTTGTTTTCATGCAGGCTGTGTCTATTTATTATTTTAATTATACAATTTTAAGCATTTCAGACTTGTTTTTTTGCCTTAGTTTTGTAATAGCTTCTTGACAATATAAGATATCTGTCTGCCATTCTAGGGTCAAGAAGGATATATTTCCTAGTGTGTTGCAAAATTGGAAGCACTTGAGACTGGGTTTATTGCCTTTTGGATAAACAGCAAAAACAAATGTGAGAAAGGCTGAACTTGATGGAGCATGTCCCTTTTCAGGTATGTAACTCTCCATAGCACTGCAGAATTTGTTGGCACTTTCTAAATAATAATAATGTGACTATATAGGGCACTTGGCAGGATGGCCATCTAAAGCATTGATTTTCAAACCTTTTTGACAGGAAGTAAATATAGCTAGGTGACCCATTCATCAAATATAAAATAATGTAGAAAAATGCATTTATCAAAACTTTTATTCAACTTATCCCTCTAGCAAAGGGTTCTTCAGGTCTATTATAGTATAGCATTCACTGTGGGCTGTTGGCTGAGGCCAGGTAAATATACATGCCAACTTAAAAAACTGATGATCCGCTGCAACAGTGTGGGGATCAATTTTATGTCTAAAGCTGGAGTTAAAGCACCACTGACTTAATGGTACGTGCATACAGTACAGGTGCTGCATACTTATACATTCATAACCATGTCCTGTTTAGTTCCAGACAGAGAAAAACATAACATAGAGATATTTATAAGTGAAATAAATGTTTGGATGTATTCCAGCTTCCTTCCAGCTGTTACTATAATGTTATATTTTTCTATTTATAGACGCTACAATCACAGTTGTAAAGTAGCTAAATGTTTTACTTGAAAAGTACACAATGCTGGATTGGTTTGGACTGATTCATTTGTGTTTGGTGAATCATACCAAATACTATAGAGTCAATTGACTAAACATTGATTCTTTTTATAGTAATGGTGCATTTTTATGCAATATAATTACTACTGGGTGCAAGTAAGAAGTCCAGTCCAAAATAAATAGTCACCAAACATAGAAAAATCGTACCATCAGACCTTTTGCAATTTACTGCATAGTGTTGTCACTTCTTGGGCTTTAATGGAAGGTAATCAGATTTGATTGATATAGAATCCTACTTGAATAGTCTAAATTCTCTATCAAACAGACTGATATACATGAAGAACTCTGTTACATTTCTAGATCCTCATTCAACTAGCACTCATCCAGTAGCACATAAAAGAACATATCTTCGTGTTTCACTCCATCTTGACTGGCTGTGTTAGATGAGCTCCTGCCAGCCAACACTACAAAACGGGGGCCGACTTCACCATCAATTGAAGGCAATTTAAATAGGATTACCTAAAGTAGCAGCATATTACACCTGATGAATCTGTGAAAACTGTGAAACACATTTGGGGACTGAAGGACTCCTTTATACCATGTTTGTCTAATATGTTTTATGTTAATAAATTGGATATATTTGCTCAAGTGAAGTGGATCCTTCATACGCTACTATATAGAGGTGTGGATGAAAGAAGAGGTTAAGTGTCATTCTTGATTGACACTGAATTTGTTATGAACTTAGAATCAGTTCCATATGGCTCTTCAAATGATGGAAAAAAGGAAGGAGGGTTACAGCACTAACTCCAAAGGCTGCCAATTCTTTCCATAGTGATAACAGTCTGTTACTTGGATGCCCTAATAACCCAAGAGAAACAAGGAAAAAATACAGAAATAAACGCCAAATAAGAAATACCTGACAATTTTATATATATATATATAGATATATATATATATATATATACACACACATAAAAATATTGAGATATAAAAATATTAAAGAGTCCCAGCAAACAGAAAGTATTTTTTGGAGATAAGAACCTTTTAACCCCTTAAGGACACATGACATTTGTGACATGTCATGATTCCCTTTTATTCCAGAAGTTTGGTCCTTAAGGGGTTAAAGCTAGTTATTTATTGGATGTCAGTCTTTTATCCTCCTCAAGTGTTCAAGTAGACAAAGCTTTAGTGCAGATGAGGAATTCTGTTGTTTGTGTCTCATATGAAAAAAAACCACAAATGAAACCAGGACCGGACTGGGAGAAAAATTCGGCCCGGGCATTTTTTTAACACAGCGGCCCACTAAGGGGGCGGGGCAGAGGAGGTTTGTTTTGTCATCACCAATGACAAACACGCCTCCTCTCAAAGTGAGTATGTTGGTTCAATGCTCTCCCAGGGCAGACCATGCGCAGAGCACTGCTGAAGAGCTCTAGCATGAGAAAAAAGCTCTGTATTTGTTCTGCACAGTGCAAGCAAATTTAAAAACATGTTTGCACTGTGTTTCCTTGCAACTTGTCTCTGGTGTCTCTATAAATGGATACCAGGAGACAAAAATGACAGGAAAGAGTATTGTGCATGTGTTTGGAGCCTGCTTGTGGTATTGCGTGTGTGTAGAGTGAGCTGATTGTGGTGTGGTATTGTGTAATAAGGTTGGTTTTAGTCATGTTGTGTTTGTGGTGTAAAGTGGTGTAATGTGATGCATATGTGGCTATGGGCTGTGTAACAAACCACCTCTTTTACAGGTAGGATTGTCACAGATTTTGCAGTAACCACAGCCTTCTAGGATATACAAAGTCCAGGACACATTCAGCTCGGTTTTCCTTTTTATTCAGTAAGAAAACAGGTGCTTTAAATAATAACAAAAACAAACAAAATCCCTTGCTCTTACTTGAGCTCTTACTAGACAGTAATTGCTATCTGCAATTGGGTGGCTTTCCCACTTACCAATTTTCCAAACAAAAGAAATGTCTTTGCAATAAACACAATCTCTCCTAGCTGTCTTTTTCTCCCTCACTCTGCAGCAGGCTGCCCTCTTCTTTTAAAGGCCTGTCTACTAATTGACTGGCTACAGGTGAGTGCCAATTAACTAACTCGTAAGTCAGATCCAAATAGTGGTCTGTTACACAGCAAGTAATGCTGTTGGAGCATTGGCCCACCCTGCTCTCCAAATACTCCGCCCCAGGGACCCATACCATGTTTTGCAGAACCTTAGCAATGTAGATTGCAAACTCTAACATCTCTCCCTGGGGCATTTAACTGAAAATTCTCAGGTTGCGGTTTAACAAATCAGGCCTGATGTATCTTCCATCAAGCACAATTCCACTTTTACGCTCACAGCTGTAAAGAATGTGTGTATTGGGGATATAGCAAGTGTGTGCATACAGGCTATAGTGTGTGCGTGTGTATATAGGTGATGTAGTGTGTGTTTAGGGGTGTAGTATGTGTTTGCTTACAAGGAATCTAGTGTGTGTATAGGGGATCCAGAGTGTTTATGTTAAGAGTGTAGTGTGTGTGTGTATATATATATATATATATATATATATATATATATATATATATATTTGGAAGTATTGTGTATGTGTGTGGTGCAGTGTGTTGGGGGGGGGGTTCTGTGTGTATGTGAGGGGTGCAGTATGTGTGTGTTAGAGTGCCGTGTGTGCGAGAGTGCTGTGTGTGTGAGAGTGCTGTGTGTGTGAGAGTGCTGTGTGTGAGAGAGTGCTGTGTGTGATGTGTGTGATGTGTGTGAGAGTGCGTGTGATGGGTGTGAGAGTGCTGTGTGTGTGTGAGAGTGGTGTGTGTGAGAGTGCTGTGGGTGTGAGAGTGCTGTGTGTGATGGGTGTGAGAGTGATGGGTGTGAGAGTGCTGTGTGTGTGAGAGTGCTGTGTGTGAGAGAGTGCTGTGTGTGAGAGAGTGCTGTGTGTGAGAGTGCTGTGTGAGAGTGCTGTGTGTGATGGGTGTGAGAGTGCTGTGTGTGAGAGTGCTGTATAAATGTTAGAATGGATTGTGTGTGTATAGGGGGAGGCAAAAAAAAAAAAAACAGGCATTAACTCCCCCCCTCCCTTCTTACCTTTAGCCTTGGAGGGGGGGACCGGAACGCTGGTACCTGGGACTGGGAGGCGGGGAGGCAGTGTTCCCTGGTGGTCCTCGTGGGTGAGTGAACTCTATTTTTGAGACAAAAACAAACATTTTTTTAAATTCATGCACGTGATTCGCAAAAACGCAGACCCTATGATTAGAGAATAAAAATACTTTTAGATGTACAATGATTTTTACCAAAGTGCTGTTAACATGTTTTTCAAGAAGTCCTAAATAAGACAAAGTCCAACTTTGGCAATAAAAGCACAAATAAAATTATCATTAGGTCTTTTCACTCATTCATATTATAAATATATTGCCATTAACTCAACACATTTAACTAATCTCAACAAGGCTTCATTTTTACCGAATGTCTGCCAATTCTTTCCATAGTGATAACAGTTTAAGAGAAATTCTACAACACCATCATCCAAAACATTGCTATGGGACGTGTACACTTAAACTGGTGTTATACAGGGATAGATGCCTACTGGCCTCTTTACTTACAGCCTTATGTTCCCTTCCAATTTTCTTTCATCCTCATTCCGGAAAAAAATACATCATTTGACAAAGTGCTGTTTTTTTAATCATAAAACACACATTGACATAAATGGATCAGCTGTATGGTGTATGTTGCCTTAATCTCCAGTATGTTTTTGTAGCCTACCTGTAATAATGGGCAGGCTTATTACTCAGTGCAGCAGAGCCAGGTGGCCAGAACTGTGGCTGGATCTTTATACAAACATTTATCAATTCAACAAAATTCCCCCTTGGGATGAGGCTTGTGCCATTTCTGGTACTGCACCTGTATGTGAGATGTCATTTACACTCTGCGTAAATAATGTATATCCTTTGTAGTAGGTAAACATCCCCTCGATATATTGTGTATAATTACAGCTAGACAATTTCTCAAATACATTTAAATTCTAAAAAGCTTTGTTTGAAAGGGACAATTTGAAAAAAAGCTATAAAACATCTGTAAATGAGTATATTTACTAAAATCTTTGCCCCCCCTCCCACTTCCCCCATCCCACCTTATTAACATAGAAAACACAGAATTGCAATGCTCTGCCTTGAAGATGCAATTTGTTATTTCAGTACAGTACAATCAGCATTCGATCTCTTGGTAAATGATCCCAAAAGAGTAATACATATTTTGTCCAGTGATGTGTAGCCTTTTTAGCAACATGCAACAGTCCAGAAGGTCTACAGAGGACATCATTAGTCAGGCCTAATTAGGAAATGAGTATTCCTAAGACATTCCCTGTTATTCCCTCAACTCACAGCCACATTAAATATATATGTATATAAAAGATAAAAACTCCATAATTAGACTGGATTACCTTAAGTATCATATTGGCATTGAAGTTGGGTTGTTTTGGTGAGTATATCTCTTTAACCCTCCTCCTGGGTGCCACCAAGCAAATGGTCCAGAGATGCAAATGCTCTAAAAGTGAGTATGCTGCTGTATTATTTTTACTCTTCATAAGTTATTTAATTCCTGAGCAATTCTGGGCTTGTTTCAGTTTGTTTTTTAAACAATGTACATGTAAAAAATCGGAGAACCTCTGCCAAAATTAACAGAAACCAAACTGCACAAATTTTAACAGGTAACATTTGGAGCTCAGTACATTATCCTCATATTATGCACATTATGCATGTTAACAGATAATAGAATGGCAAATCAATAAAAATAAAAAAATAAAACAGATGCTACAATTATCACTACAGGAGACTTTTGCCAGGAGACATGACTTGACCATAAGGGCATTTGTGATATCCAACATATGCTGTCATTCTCAACTTGTGTTCAAGTCAGGTATGTAACCAAGTCAAAGTAGAGACTAAGGAACAGCAGACACACAAAAATACAGTTTATAATTTTACAAGGCTATTTCAAATCATCTATCTCAGCAAACAAATATGGGAATTGTGTTCCACCATATCGTGCCAAGCCCACCATTAAGATAGTACATCAATATCAGTGAGTCCCACACTAATTTTAGCATGGAGACAAATTAAATAGTGTCTGTTAGTCCACTGATTGTACAGCACTGCAGAATTTGTTGGCGCTTTATAAGTAATAAAAATAATAATAGTGTGAGTGCTGAATGAACTTAAGTGTATTTAATTAATCTATTTGTACTGGGAGATTACAGACCCCCCCTCCTCCTCCCCCTCCCCCAGTAACCTGCAGTGTGTACTGGGATATTACAGACCCCACCCCCCTTACCCAGTAATGTGAAGTGTGTACTGGGAGATAACAACTTTAAAATGTAAATACAACCACAATTTTTTTAAATGTATTTATGTATTTAGCACTGAGCAGTGTTTGTATATTTTTAATGTAAGCATGTTTTTGTATGAAATATGTGTGAGTGAATGTACGGGTGTGTTTGCACGTATTGACATTTGAATGCAGGCGTGCATTTTTCTGTAGTGTGGTTTTTGAATATGGTGGTGTGTTTTAATGTAGTGTTGACATTTGGATGCAGGATTGTATTTGTGTGTAGTGTAGATGAAATGCTGAGATGTATGCACATGTACACATATACACACACTGGCACACATACAGATACACAGACACATAGGTACACACATGCAGTTACATAGAAACACAGTCATACACAGATACAGACAAATACTGACACACATACAGATACAAACACACATATAGACACACAGACACAGATAGTCACATACATACAGATACACAGACACACTGAAACAAACACAGACACACAAACAGATACACATACAGATAACACAGACATACAGATACACATGTATAAGTGTGTATAGTGTATGGAGTATTTGTATAGTGTATGGAGTGTGTATAGTGTGTGCATAGTGTATGGAGTGTGAATAGTGTATGGAGTGTGTGTATAGTGTATGCAGCTTCTGTGTGTTTTGTGTGGAATAAGTGCTGGGAAGGTGAGGAGTGTGTATGGTTTGCCCCTCCCCCCTCCCTGACACTTACCTGTCCCTTCCATCCTCCTTGACGGGTGGTCCTGGTGGTACGATGGCACAACATAGGTGGGCCCAGAACTCTGCTCGCGAGTTTCCCATCCAGCAGCAGGTCCTCTGTTCTGGCGATCCGCGAGAGCGTTGCCGAGGATTGCTATGGCAAACCGCGGCAATGCTCTCGCGGATCGCCAGAACAGAGGACCTGCTGCTGCTGCTGGATGCGAAACTGGCGTAGATACTCTTGTAAGCGGCCGGTCCCTTTACATAAGACCCCCGGGCTTACTTTGTCCCTGTTTCCTTTAGACCTGCCCACTGTCTGCTGACATCAGCAGAAATAGTAGCGTGATCCAATCACAATGCTTCCCCATAGGATTGGCTGAGATTGACAAAGAGGCAGATTAGGGGCAGAGCCAGAACAATTCAAACACAGCCCTGGCCAATCAGCATCTCCTCATAGAGATGAACTGAATCAATGCATCTCTATGAGGAAAGTTCAGTGTCTGCATGCAGAGGGAGGAGACACTGAATGTTTGGATACATTTTAGGCAGCAATGACCCAGGAAGGATCTCTAACAGACATCTGAGGAGTGGCCAGTGAAGTTATCACTAGGCTGTAATGTAAACACTTCATTTTCTCTGAAAAGACAGTGTTTACAGCAAAAAGCCTGAAGGTAATGATTCTACTCACCAGAACAATTTCAATAAGCTGTAGTTGTTCTGGTGACTATAGTGTCCCTTTAATACAGAATCTTTAATAAACTACAATTACAAAAAATAAAATAAAAGCTAAAGTATGAATGATCAGGTATAAATCAGTACTATAAATATAGTATTAGCAAGTAGTCTACTTTGATATTCACATTGTTACAATTGCCTTTATAAAATGCATGTATTATTCTCCTAAACTGGAGAGTACATCTAGTTCCGAACATCCATTTTTACTCCTGACATACATACTGCAAAAATATATTTTACCACAATGTCTTGTGTGTCATGTATTAAAAAATTATAACAATTGAAGTTTGCAACACAGTGGTGCATCCAAGGTTTATAAATATCATGTGAGTCATGTAGATTTAAAAAAAAAAATTAAAAAAAAATTAATAAATAAAAAGACTAATTGCCTTTTTATATAATAATGCAACAGCAAGTTGTTGTTTTTTGTTTTTTTTCAATAAACAATTAATTGTAGTAAAATATGTAGACAAAAGTGCAGATTTTGGACAAAATCTCCAATTTGGCTATTTTCACAACTTTTAACCTGAATGCATATTTCACTTCATTATAATTCACTGTTTAGTGAGCAGACTCCATGTGGCTCTCAATAGAACTGAAAAAATGTACAAATATTGAGCGATACGAACAACAGCTACCAGCAAGAAAAGACTGAATCTATTGCAAGATGTACGTAAATGACAGCTGTTACCTAAATTTTATTAATTGCATGTAAATGTTACAGTTGGTGTTATGGACGCTAATCCTTTTACTTTTTTTTTTAAATCTGTGGAAATCAGTAAGCCTTAATTAGTAAATTAGGAGGCTTTTAAAATTGCTAGTTACAGAGATGCCAGGGCAGCATTTTCAAATATAGGAATTCCTCTGCTGTAATAAAACTGAATGATGAGATCAAATAACACACTAGGGTTCATCAACTAAACAGTGAATCCTGGAGCATTGACCAGCGAACTGCATATTTAGGGGAAAACAGCTTGAGTTAGGGGATATTTTTTATTCACCTTTTTTTCTAAAATTCACAGTTCCCTGGTAATTTCTTCCCAATTCAGTAAATAACCTAATTCTTTTCCTAAAGTTAATTCTGTTTGCTTATGTATTTGTGCTTACCAAACTGCCAAAACACTGAGAACATCATTATAGATGATCCTAATATATTTTGTACACCAGCTGTAACATATAAAGAGAAAACACTAACGCTACTTCTTTACAAACACACACATACACACCCCACCCCAAGTTTAGCAAGTTTAAAATCGAGAGGGGAAGGGTGAGAAAGGGCATGGCCCGACACTGGGTAAGTCCATGACCCAATTAGCATTAAGTGCTAAGTCATTAAAGGAGTATGCCATCAGCTCACAGAAGGGCAGCCATTTTACATGTAAATGAGAAAGCACATATTAAATTATGAATTATCTCCGTGCCACATGGTCCAGAGCAGCAGCACTCCAGTCTTAGACAAAAAATTAAATACCTAGCACCGAGTAAATCCGTAGGCAAATTTATTTATTAACATTAAATACAGCAATGTTTTGATCCAAGTTAGAGCCTTCATCAAGCCTACTATTAAAGAAAAAAAAAATATAGTACTGGGATACCAGTTTAGGTTACCGGCCTCCCTCAGAATGGAGTAAAAAGGCAATTTACTTACCTTTTCTTCTTCGACACTGGGGTCTGACTACAGCCGACCCAGCCTCCATGGCTGGGATCATCAATCTTAAGGATCTCAGTCAATCAAATGCTTTCCCATAGGAGGCTATTGAGCATACTTGGCAAAACACTGCACCGGGCCAATCATCATCTCCTTATAGAGATGCATTTAGTCCATGCATCTCTATGTGGAGTGTTCAAAGATTGCAGGACCTAACCCCGAGGGTCCCTCTAGTTGCTGTCAGAGTGATAGTCATTAGAGGTGTTACTAGGCAGTGTTTACATTGCTGAGGCTGCAGAGACATGCTATAGACACCAGAAAAACTACATTATGCTTGTGTGGTTCTGGTGGCTAGAGTGTCTCTTTAACCATTAGTGCAACACTATTTCTAGTGTGTATAAACAGGTATAATGAATCTGACACATCAATAGCTCCTCATACATTAAAGAGAACTCCAGAAATGATGCAATTGTGTCCTTAGGAGTGACGTGGTAACTAAACTTATGCAAAATGGTGAGCATAGCTATAGTAACAAGAAATTCCATACTGGAATCTCATAACACACTTTTAAATTTGGGGTCTCTTTAGTCATGTAGCGATCCCAATGCCAAGAGCCAAGCTTAGCCAGAGTAAAAATGATATACAAACAAGAGACCTCATACCATAATTATATATGCAAACTTTTAAATGTTGGATGGCCAGTAGGACAAAAGAGCAACCAGTCATGGCTATAGATATACTGCTGGTGATCAGGTATAGGTTAACCCCTTGAGGACCGATGACGGTTCAGGACCGTCATCAGAAACATCCCCTTGAGGACTAATGACGGTACTGAACTGTCATAACTACTTACCTGATCGCCGCCATTCCCCCGCCAGCGATCGGCATTGCTCCAAGTCTGGGGGGTTGCCTGACAGCCCAGACAGTCCCCCCTCAGCAAATTAGGCCCCTGTGGGCCATGTGATCGCTCTAATAGAGCGGTCACATAGCTGCAATCAGGGCCAGATTAACATAGGTGCTGATAGAGCTGCAGCTCCAGGCCCAGGCCCATGGAATATGTCCATTTAAAAAAAAACACACTACTCTTAGGTTTGCCACCTGACTGGTATTTTAAGGCACAGCCGGTATTTGAGGCTGCCTGGCCGTGACGGTATTGCAGTAATACCGGCAATACAAATGCAAATAATTTTCTCAGTATAAACGGAGATTACACTGCAACACCAGCAATGGCCAGTAGGGGTCACTATGTATGGAGAGAGGCAGGGAAAGGAAGTTACAACATATCCCTCCCTGCCTCTCTCTACTCACTGATCTGCAGGGGAGCAGCTACACAGCACAGAGAGTCCAGACAGCAGCTTCCAGCCTGCAGAGACATCCTACAGCTCAGGTAAGTGAAGGATGGGGGGAAAGGCAGCAGGGGACATGGGGAAACTGAGACACTAGGGGACACTGGGAGATGTGGGGACACTAAAACACTTGGGGACACTAGGAAACATGTGGACACTGAGACACTAGGGAACACCGTGAGACATGGGGATGCTGTGAGACATAGGGAGACACATTGGGACATGGAGACACTAGGGACACAGTGTCTCCATGTCTCCCAGTGTCCCCATGTCTCCCAGCCAGTGTCCCTAGTATCTCAGTGTCCCCATGTCACAGAGTGTCCCCAAATGTCTGTGTCCCCATGTCTCCCTGTGTCCATATGTCTCCCAGCCAGTGTCTCAGTGTCTCCATGTCTCTCAGCCAGTGTCCCTAGTATCTCCCCATGGCTCCCCGTGTCCCCTAGTCACCCAGTGTATGTGTCCCCATGTCTCAGAGTGTCCCCATGTCTCAGTGTCCCCATGTCTCAGAGTGTCCCCAAATGTCTGCATCCCCATGTCTCCCTGTGTCCACATGTCTCCCAGCCAAATGTCTCAGGGTCCCCCTGTCTATGTCCACAAGTGCCCCAATGTCTCCCAGGGTCCCCAGTGACCCTACTGTCTGTGTCCCCATGTCTCCAAGTATCCCCTAGTCTCCCAGTGTCTGTGTCCCAATGTCTTTGTCCCTAGTGTCTGTGACCCCATTTCTCCCAGTGTCCCCAAATGTCTCAGTGTCTCCATGTCTCCCAGTGTCTCCATGTCTCCCTGTGTCCCCATGTTTGTATCCACAAGTGCCCCCATGTCTTCCACTGTGATACATAGGGACACTGATGCCAGACTGGCCTTCCAATTCTTTGGACAGACATTTTTGGGCACGTTCGCCCCTTTTGGCAGTTCTGGTCACGTGATTCGTGTCAGTGTCCCATCCTTTAACCCTGCCCATTGACTTCCTGCTTCACTGGACACTGCTGTTAGGGGGTATGGACGTACTTGAAAGATGAAAGCATAAATTAGATAAAGAGATTAGCATAGAGTAGGTGTTTTCTTATAGCTGCATCCTTTGAGTTTTCCTTCAACACCAACTCCATCAGATACATGATGCTTGAGAGGTATGACTGTTTTAGTGTTTTTGGTCGATAAGATTCTGTAATTAGACCCCATCATAATTGTCAGCACCAGGCCCAATGTGCTCATAATCTGGCCCTGGCTGCAATAGATGTCCATGTATCTGCCTGCAGGGGGACTCCCTGTGCTGTCAGGCTGAAAGATCCCGTGCATGTGTATGGCTGAAAGATCCTGTCAAATACTAAAGGATGTGCATGTTGGTATTAAGAATAACGGTACAGATGAAAAAGTGTGAGGCTCATAGAATGAAAGAAAAGAGCAAAGCATAAGCACAAAGCATAAGAAAGAATGAAATAAAAGAGCAAAGCATAGTGAATTAAGATGCTCAAAGTATGAGAAAAG